ATTTTTTATTGATTTCCTACTGATTTTGTATTAATTTTGTATTGATTTTGTATTGATTTTCTGTTGATTATCTATTGATTTTCTATTGATTTTTTATTGATTTCCTACTGATTTTGTATTAATTTTGTATTGATTTTCTACTGATTTTCTACTGATTTTCTATTGATTTTCTATTGATTTTCTATTGATTTTCTATTGATTTTTAGTTATTTTTTGGTCACTTTTTGGTAATTTTCTAACCATTTTCTAGTAATTTTTTAGCCATTTTCAATTAATTTTCACGTCATTTCCTATTTATTTCCTATTTATTTCCTATTTATTTCCTATTCATTTTCTATTCATTTCCTATTCATTTCCAATTCATTTTCTATTAAACACCAAGGAATAAGAACACTTATATCACAAGACACAAAATTATTTTGCAAATGTTACTTTGCCAATTATATTGGCATTCAATAATCAACATTAACTTGCATATAAGAATTCATGTTTCGTTGTTTAAACTTTCTAACATTTTCATAACGCACTCGTTCCATTTGCTTGCACAGGTTCCGTTACCTGGATCAAACGTGCACCAGAAATGGAAATACAAATTACGACTTCCTCATTTTCTCTGGTTCATTAAGTGCTCTACAGATGTTTGAAGTATGAAAGGGGATATCAAGACGAACAATCGTACAGTTGAAATAAAAATCAGTACAATAAGTTCTTATAGAAAGCTCAGATAAAGATTAATAGGTAAATTAATTACATATTATTAGACTAACTCATTCTGTTAATAAATAATTAAATATTTTATATAAATAAATTTTAAAAAAGATTAATTTTATTGAATAAATATTCAGAATATTTCTATAAATCAATTAAAAAATAAGCAACATACATACATACAAATAAATGAATTAAAATAAAATAAATAAGATTTAGAAATTATAATTAAATAGAACATTTTTTATATAAAAATAAATGAAATATCGAATAAATAAAATAATTTTTAATAAAACTATTAAATCAAATAAATAATTATATATTTTTATCCAAATTTTTTATATATTAGGCTACATATGCTTGTTTATATGATAATTAATAAATTATCTTATTGATAAATAAATCTTAGTCTTAATAATAAATAATTATATATTCCTTTTTTAAATAATTAATTTATTATTATTAAATTAATTAAAAATTAATAAATAATTGATTATTAAATAATACATATATATATAAATATAAATATAAATATTTAATTAATAAACTTTATCTATTAAACACATCAATCCCCCTTAAACGTATACATATTTTTTAACAAATGGTATCGCAAGATCTGTTTAGATTACGTCATACGTTTCAGCAAAACGAAGATGCTGTTTGATTAGCAAAAAGGATCGTAACGTTACAGAAGGTAAGTGGAGAAGTTACGTCGGAAAATGAAAGGCTCGTATGCTCGTAAAGATCGTTTATGCGAGCGCGTAGCTACCATTAATCGGTACAGAGGAAACCATAACAACCTCAGTGCACCTGCTCGCCTCGAAATTGTTAATGTGAATCATTTCAGATGAACGCGAATACAGCGATCAAATTAAAAATGTTACAATGAGGCTCGCTTCAAGTCTGCAGCAATCTGTTCGGCTAAATTGCACAATGCTGGTTACATTCTTTCTCTACTGGCTGTCTTGAGCTCGACGTAATGTGATTTCAGTGGATAGGGAGAAAATGAATACAATGAATACGCATGCGTCGAATATAATTATGCAATGGAGAAAATTTCAATTGAAGGAATTTTAATGTTATCTTCTTGAATGTGGAACAGATTAAGGTTCGTTCTCATGAAATCGATAAAACTAGGTTGATGTACGTCGTGTTTGGACTCATTTTAATCAGCAGAATCTCAACAACCCATCGGTACTACGATTGAGAAGGTAAGGTTACAATGACTGCAATTGAAATTTTCTTCATTGCATGTTTAACTGTACTTCCTTGAATGTAGTACCGATGGATTGTTGAGATTGTGCTGATTAAAATGAGTCCAAACACGATGGGAATCGGACTAGTTTATGGATTTCATGGAAACGGGCCTTTAATTTCGTTGATTATGTAAAATCGGCGAAACTAGTCCGATTCCCACCGTGTTTGGGCTCATTTTAATCAGCACAATCTCAACAATGCTCTCGCACTATATTTGAGAAGGTTATGTTAAAATGACTGCAATTGAAATTTTCGTCATTAGATGTTTGTATTCGTTTCGAAGTCCCGCATTTCGATCTTCAATTCTCTGACTGTGTCTATCCCGCTTCCACACACTATATCGATCCTCTGCCTTTATCAGACTATGCTCGAGTCAGTTCCGGATGAGAAATAGCTTCCTCTAGAATTTTCTGCTCGCGTAAATTCCACTACACTATTTGATAGTACTACTGTTGATATTTTTCTTTGAGTATAGCGTAAATCAGCTATTTGTATTATCAACCGGTTAAGAATTATTATTTATATTAATTAATTAATTATGTTATATTTAGTACTTTTATTCGTCATTATTAATAACTCATTAATTTCGTGAATAATTGTCCTATATAACATAATACTATTGATCAGGGGATAAGAAACATTTTTTCATACAAAATTTCTTTTTGAGATAATCATGATTGTTTATGGGGCACGTGTGTATATACAGATTATACTGAATAAAAATAATTAATAAATAGTTGAATAATGTCGTAGGTATAATCAACAGAATGTTATTATATGCACACAAAAATAAGAAAAAGATATAGAATATCGTAATTTTTTATATAAAACAATTTTTAAAATTTTTATAATTTTTATAATTTTTATAATTTTCTATAATTTGTATAATTTTCTATAAATTGTATAATTTTCTATAAATTGTATAATTTTCTATAATTTGTATAATTTTCAATA